TGGGTGGCCGGCTGGATGGAGGATGGGTGGGAGATAGATGGGCACAAGGGATGAATCAATTGTAGGTGGGTGGATGAACGGAAGGCTAGATGGGTCACAGGAGGAAAGCACAACACAGAAGTGGGCAGAAGAGTCTTACTTTCTCTGGTTGTCAGTCAGTGTAATTCCCTGGGCAGAAACTTTGAAGTGAACAATAGTGGCAGCTGGTGTGGGGTCAGCAGCCAGTGTCTCAGAAGTGGCTTTGGAGATGGCCTGTGGCCCAGTGAGTGACTCCATGTCCACAGAGTTGACGAAGAGCACGTTGCAGGCTGAAAGAAACCCACCCAAAGAGAGGTCATGGGGGCTGGAGTGGGTGGGGCGATCCCCAGGTCCTCTCTTCAGGAAGCAGGGAGCAGAAAAATTCCAGGCCAACCTCAGGCCAAGGCACTTGCACCCAGAAATGTGGTGTGCCCACCCAGAGACATTTGGGTCGGGGAGCAATGTCCAGCCTGCACCTGCAGGAGGGGACAGGGCAGAGAGGAGGAAAGGCCTGGGCGGGGATCTAGTCTGGAGTGACCACTCACCTGCCCCTTGCTTCAGCAGGTCGGTGGTTGAGTTGGCAGGGCGCGAGCTATCTTTCGAGTCATCTGTGGGGTCTGAGACAAAAATTTAATCCAGCTAGTAATTAAAACTCCAGATCTGGAAGCAGGGAGCAGAAAAATTCCAGGCCTGAGTCTGGCTGGGTATAAGGCGAGCTCTGCAAATATTTTGTGCAATGGATACTGCTTTTCATAGCAGGCCCTGGCAGCGGGTATATGCATGTCCAGTTGGAATGGTCAATAATTGCTCACCGGTTGAGGGCTCTAGAGTCCAACAGAGCTGGGTTCAGACCCTCAGCCCAGCATGTGCTAAGTATCTACAAAACGGAAATGCTGGTGACAGAAGCGTTTCACTGGGTTTTGAGATGCTCCATGTACAGTGCTAGCCCACTGCTTGGCATGAAGCATACCTTTACGTGGAGTTGGTGGTGTCGTTCTTTTGTGTTGATGTCTGCGTAGATCAATAAATGCCCTCATTCATTAAACCCTTCATACAGCACAATTATAATTTCAATATTAAAAAGAATTGAGTACTGTTTACACCAGCATGTTTCAGACTTTAGTATGTAGACTTGTTAAAACACAGATCGCTGGGCCCCACCCCCGAGATCCCGATTAGGTGGGGCTTAAGAATAGTTCCATTTTTAACAAGTCCCCAGGGGAGCTGATGCTGCTGGCCTGAGTGTCATGCTTTGAGAACTGCTAGTTTATACAATGTAAATATCTGTTTTATCATTGCTGAATTACTTTGGTAAATTCTATAGAAATCTCATTTAATTAGTGTCTAAATTGTATGGTTAATAATGCTATTTAAGTTGTATTTGAACTTTTAAGCTAATAATGGTGGTAAATTATGATTAATAATTCAATGAATCGAATTGGATACATAGAGACTATCAAATAATACACGAGATTTTCTGTGTAGGCTAAAACCTCAGGAGCTCCAAGAGAGAGGAGAAAGCCCCAGGGGCACTTCTGAATATTCTATTATTGAACAGAGGGGATAGGGAGAAGGCACCTCAGCCTCCAGTCTGGACCTCAAGTTCAGGGCCAAGCGTATTCCCCTCATGTGGGTGCTGTGTACTTGGGGGCTGGAGACCAGAAGCCTGTGATATAATAGAAGCTATACTGTGAAGAGTGTTGGGTCCATCTGCCATCTCCAAGGCTGGGACACCTCTCTGAGAGAAGCTGAAATCTCCTTTGCTGGCCTAGTGTCTCATTCAGATTCTCATCCTCTATGTACTGAGGCTCTTCAGTTCCATGCAAACTTCCCACAACAAAAGAGGGCTTGCTTTTCCCTATCAGCTCAGTGTCGCCTCAGTCAGGGAACATCCTGTGAGTCACTCACACTAGAAACTCCAGGGACCTCTGACCATCCCCTTTCCTTCCCATGCCACACAGAGCTCAACCGCCTCTCCTCTAAGAGATCTCTCCAGTCTGTTGTCTCCTCTCCATTCAGACCAACCTCCCACCCTGGATGCCCCCTTGACCTAAATCTGCCTTTCCCTCCCCCTCCCTTCAGCCCTTCCCATTGATGCCCATCTCATCCTCTGGACAAGGTCCTCCCCATGACTGTCTCCTATTTCGTGTGCCTCTTCTGGGATGAGGCTTATTCTAAGAATTCAATCTGAATTTCTTTAAGCCTCCAGAGAATTTTCCAGAACAATCTGGCAAGTCAATTATGTATGTTCTTGGAGTTAAGCTTTTTAATAAACTTTTCCTTGTTTTTTTAATTAAAAAAAGAGAGCGGTTTCAAGTTTCCCCAGATTGGCAAAATGATCCAAGTCCTCCAACCCTGGCCCAAGTTCTGGAGCTCTGGCAGGGCCCAGACACGAAGGAGGCCAATTCAAGGGTGTGCTTAGAGACAGAGGAGTGTCGGGTTCCTACCTCGGTTTGGAATGACCAGCTTGCAGGGCAGAGCCAGTGGGATGATGGAGTGTTGGTAGACCAGGGCAGAGAGAGATCCTGCAGGAAGGGAGACAGCATATCAGGGGCAGCTTTGCAGGAAGTGGGCCAGGACACTGAGGAAGCCCACTCACTGCACCTACTAGCCACAATCTTCAGCTTCTCTATTACTCTCCCTCATCCCACTAACAAAACTGAAAATCCACTCCCTCTGTGTTAGCAAGACCCAAGGGAGAAGGCTCCAAAGGCTCACCCTAGCCGTCATAGGTGACGCTTTCCTTTATAGAAAGTTGCTCCCAACAACTCTCCCAAGCCCCTCCCACTGCCGGGACCCCAATCAAGACACTGCAGCAGAAGACTCAGGGAATCGTGGGATCAAATCCCAGCTCAGTCACTTACTAGTATGTGTTCTTGGGTAAGTCTAGCTTCTATGAGCCTCCATGTCCTCATACATAAAATGGGACAATGGGACCTACCATGCAGAATTTTCCTGAGACCAGAAGTAAGATAAGGGACCTAGACAGTGACTTTCACATAGTAGGTGGTCAAAACAGAAGCTATTGTTATAGCTGTTATCAAATTACGATGATAACAAGTCTCAGTGGGGTAGGACAAATATAGAAAGGAATCTGGCAGAGTGAAGGGGCCATAGGTCAAAGGAGGGGAAGCCACTGTTCATTTCTCTGCTGCATCTATGAAAAGGGTTTGGCAGAACCCGAGGAGGGGGAGCCTGGGGCAGGCCTGAGACTCTGCAGGCAGATGTGGAGACAGAAGTAGGGGAAATCTCACCAAAGTTTGGCTCATTGGGGCACCCCTTGAGCTTGACTCCTCTGGGACCAGTCTCTATCAGGAAATGTCTCACCAGCTCATGGGTCATGTCCCCTGGGATGAAAAGAAAAAAATGAGGATTAGTCACTTCTCATGGCATCCTCCCACCACCTCCCAACACAGCTACATCACTTCTCCAGTGTGCAGGGTTTCGATGGGAGAAAGGGTCGGAGAAACAATATGCCCAGAACCCTGGAATGGACAGACAACCACTCCTTTCCTATACCTCAAGAAGATGCAATCACAGAGCCCCCATAATATGGCTTTCCATTCTCTAACCCCAACCATCCCAAGCCCAAGACTCGCTCCGCTGAAGAGTCTAATTTAGCATGAATTCTGGCACCCCAGGGTTTGAAGACACCATACCAGTCACTACTTAGTCCTGAGGCCTGGCCCAAGGAGGCAGTGTTACCTTTCTTGTTCTGCTGCATGATGGTCGGAGGGGGAGAAGACACCTTCATGGCCAACCCGTAGGCTCCTCGGAAGGAGTGACTGTCCCGGATGATGAAGGCCCCTGGCTCCTGGTCCTTCAGGAGAGCGATGGCTGGATTGGGAGGGGATGAAGAAAGAAGAGGAAATAAGTTGATGGCACTGGCTTTCCTTAAGTCTCATCAGGCCTCTGGAACCTCATTCTTCCTTAGGCGAGAGGAGAGTCTTTAAAGTGAGAATTCAAACACTCTTAAGGGTCCTTCTGTACTGGGGTTGGCCAACTTTTTCTGTAAATAGCCAGATGTAAATATTTCAGGCTTTGCAGGCCATGTAGTCTCTATTGCAACTAATCAACTCTGCCACTGCAATGCAAAAGCAGCCACGGACAGGACATAAATGAATAGATGTGGCTGTCAACAACACTATATTTACAAAAACAGCCAGCAGTCTAGATTGAACCCAAGGGCTGTAGTCACCAACACCCTGTCCTGTCTCCACACAGACTTTTCCTGGGGGCCTGAGATGGGCCTCCTCTCTACTCCTATAATGCTAACTTTGATTTTTCTGTAAAATGTACAAAAATCTCCCACATCATGTAAATAGAGAGCTAAAGTTCCCTATTATCTTGGTCGGCCTTTTACTTTGCCCAGAAAGCCAAGGCTTTGCTGATTTTAAGGATCCTTCAAAAGAGCATCTACAGTCACAGCTCTGCTCTCCCACACTTCACCACAGGGATTGCTCTTCCCTTCTGACCTTGACCCTAGCCCCCTCTCTGTGACCACCACCTACTGCAAAGAGGAAAGAGTCTACTTAAATTTCTTGCCTAGGAAAGGCCCGGTGGGGAGCAGCCAGCTGTGACCTTGGATGGACCCCAGAGCCCCCCAGCACTCACCCTGCTCTCTGGAGATCTCGGGCTTGTACCAATACTTGGAAGTATCCTGGACAAATTTCACTTTAGCCCGGGTCTCTGGGCTGTTGTCTAAAGGAAGAGAAAAAAAAGTGTTATGGGTTAAACTGTGTCCCCTCAAAAGATATGTGGGGGTCCCAACCCCAGTACCTGTGAATGTGACCTTATTTGGAAACAGGGTCTTTACAAATGTAATCAAATTAAGATGAGGTTATGCAGGATTAGAATGGGCACCAATCCAATATGACTGGTGTCTTTATAAGAGGAAGGGAAGAGACAGACACAAGGAAAGGCAGGGATTGGAGAGATGCATCGACAGCCAAGGGACACCAAGCACTGCCGCAAAGAGAAGCTGGGAGAAAGGCCTGGAATGGGCTCTCCCTCAGTGCCTGCAGAAGGAACCAACCCTGCCAACACCTTGATTTTGGACTTCTGGCCTCCCCTACTGTGAAAGAATAAATTCTGTTTTCAGCCACCAAGTCTGTGGTACTTTGTTATCTGTCCTAGGAAAGTTGGTCTCCTCGAACATCATCAGAGTATTGCTAAAAGGGACCTGGAGCAGCTCTGGCATCCTCTCTGTCTACCGCCAACCACCATGTGTTAGAGCTGCTCTCCTGTTGGAGAGCCTGGCACAGCACCATCACTGAGTGGACAAAACCCTACTCCAACCCCTCTCCTCCTTTCTATAGAAGATTCAGACTAAATGCTTCTTGTAGCTTCTCTCCCGCAGGCTAAGACAACCCATCTCTATTTCTCAACTTTATCATAACAACCTTGAGGACCAGGCAGAAAGACCACTTTGTTCCACTTCTCCACAACCCTCTCCTCATTCTCCACGTGGAAAGTCTGAGTTCTGTTTCATAAGGGCAAAAAAGTCACTCCTGCTCTGGGAAAAACAGGAGAAAGGCTGGCCTAGAATTTAGAAGCCATCTCCTGTGTGCCACATGACCCACTTCTCTGGCAGACACTTGTGACCCACCCTAGACCCTCTGCAGACCCAGGATGATTTCATAGAAAGTTAGGTTCTAGAAGGACCTCTGAGAACATCTAATCCAACCTCCTAATTCTACAAGTGAGGAAAGTGAGGTTCAGAGAAGGTGAGTGACCTGCCCAAGCCCATATGGGGAACCTTTCTGTGGTTAATAGAATGGCTCCTGTTAGACCTTCTAGATTAGAAGAAACAGTGGCCAGTTCAGTGCCAGCTATACCCTATATTCCTCCTAGGTATTAGGATGTGTGCCTCTCACTCTCCAACCTTTTCTTTCATCTTTTGGCACAAAAGAAAACCAAAAGGGGGATGGGTGAAGAGGGAAAAAGGAATAGTCCAATTGTGCATGTCTCCTCTCCTTTACTGAGAGAGAGGTGGTGGCAGAGGGTGCCTGTGCTGATGATGCAGTAAACCTCAGGGCATCCAGACCAGAGACAGGGGTGGGTGGGTGTCCAGTACTTAGTCAATTTCAACATGTCACTTAAACTCTGCTGTGCTTCTGGGACCTGGCTCTGGAGGACAGCGAGGGATGAGATCAGCTCCCTTTCCTGAGCTGTGCCCTGAAGAAGGCCTTTGAGATAGGCAGCTGGGCCGTGCAACTGTTGCAAGCTGCTTTTCTCTGCTCTGAAGCCCGGGCCTCTGCTGATGCCGGGCCTGTCTAATGAGCTGTCAGAGGCGGCTGCAGCCCCATGTGCCTTCCTGTGTTGACTCCAATGGCTATTTTAAGCAGGGAAGATGGTGGGAAACAGGAAATGTCCCAACTACTAGAAGTTTTGCATCCTCCAAGGAGAGGGGCTGGGAACCAGATGTCTCTTGTGGGGGCAGCAGGAAGCAGGGGCGTGTGGGGTCGCTGTAGGTGTCCTGGCTTGGCAGGCTCAGGCAGGACCTAGTAGTGAAACACTGAATCCAGGCAGCTGGACCCCACTCAAGACTGCCCAAAACATTCCCCATCTTCCTCAAACACCTAAGGGCCCCGGGGCCCCTCTGCACACAGGCAGGTTCTAGGTCTGGATGAGAAGGCGCAAATTAACTGCAGCCTTGACCTCTGTGTTTGGATAATGAGCCCACTAAGAGGAAGCAAAGAGGTCAAGTTCTGGTGATGAATGAAGAATTCAGTGTGCAAACCTGCACGGGCTTCAGTGAGGGCAGGTTGGTAGAAACTAGACTCCAGTGAAATGTCCAACCCCTGGCCTTGTCCCAAATCACATCTGGCTGCCCCATCTATTATTAGTTATGTGTGCGTATGGGGATCAAAAGGTGGGAACAAAGGGCTAGTAAAAGTTCTAGAGGTCCAGGTTTGGAAGGCAGATTGTCAACGTTATGCTAAATCATCTAACCCTCAAGATAGGGAAACATGATCAAACAACCCCAATAATGCTTTAAGAGCACTCATTTGGGGTAGTATGGGCCTGGATCGGCAGCCTGGCCCTGCCATTTATTAACTGTCTGACCCTGGACAAATGACTGAGCCCTCCAAGCCCATTTCCTCAAGTGTGGCTATGAGGATGAATGAGAGAGTATTTATCTCAGAGCCTGGTACACAGCATGTGCTCAACAAGTCAGAGTGGCTATGCTATTGTAACAATAATGCTACCGTTATTGTTATTTTCACCACCATCAGCAGCAGCAACACCCGCAGCCTCGTCCCTGACCCCACAGCCACCACAACCATAACACATTTACTTTAAGGACACCTCCAACTCCCATTATACAGGTAAGGCAACTGAGGCCCAAAAGTTAGTGATCCGCCCACAGTTGTCTGCCAAGAGAATGCCAGACAGAGAGCAGGACAGATGTCCTAACTGGTGGACTTAATCTGTCAGCAGGAGACACGGAAGGGAAGGAGGGGCCCACCTGGCATGGAGTACTTGGAGAAGTCAGGCAGAGTGTGTGAGAAGGAGACAGTGCTGCCCCCACTGGGACTGGACATGCCGCTTGCAACAGGCGAGGAGGACACCTTCCCATTGACGGTGGCATAGTTGGGGAGGCTGCCGACTCGGTCTCCCACGGACATCCTCCACTTCTCTGGCAAGGCCGGTGTTGGACTCCCTTGCCGGAAGGCTGCCGAGTCTGGCGAGGGGGAGGTGGCAGGGCTGCTCAGGCCAGGGTAGTAGGCAGGGGACACAGGGAAGGAGGGTGTAGAAGGAGCCTGGTAACCAGAGGCACTGCTCTGCCGAGACAGCGTGGGTCTCCGGTCCTCAGGGGTGGAGTAGCCGCCATAGGCCACATGCCGGTCCAAGCTGGGGCTGCCAGGAACCGCGGATCCAGACCCTCCAAGGTGACGGCCCAGGCTGGGGCTCCCGGGGCTGGCTATTGTGTTGCCATGGAGATTGGAGGCCAAGTTGCCCTGGTGGGCTCCAGGATGCCGGCCCAGGCTGGGGCTCCCTGGAGTGGTGGCCACATTGCCATGGAGGCCTGAGGCCTGGTGGGCCCCAGGGTGCTGGCCCCGGCTGGGGCTCCCTGGAGTTACGGCCACACTGCCATGGAGGCCTGGAACCTGGTGGGCCCCAGGGTGCCGGCCCAGGCTGGGGCTTCCTGGAGTAGTCGCTGCACTGCTCTGGGGGCTAGAGACCGTGTTAGCATGGAAACCAGTTCCTGGTGGGCCCATCACCTGGCGGTGACCCAAACTGGGGCTGCTGGGGGCAGCCATGCCAGGGTTGACAGCTCGGCGGCCAAAGCCGGGGCTAGGGGGAGTGTTGGTGCCCACTGTCCTGTGGCGTGCTTGAGGGCTCCCAGGTACCGGGTGGACACCAGCCGCATTGAACTGAGACCGGGCCTGGCTTTCTGGGGAGCTGAACTGCTGAAGTGAGTAGTCAGGGCTACTGTAGCTGCTGCCCACGTTTGGAAGAGGAGAAGAACTCTGGTAGCTTCTCTGAGCCGATGAGGGGCTGGGCTGGCCCAGGCTGCCGGAGCGGAAGCCGGAATCCAGCAAAGGCTGGGTGGGTGTCCGGGGGCCCTGGTCACTGCTCTCTCCGGATGGGAAACTCCCCACTGAAGTGCTAGAGAGAGAAAGGGCAGATGGAGATGTCAGCGAACGGTACTTAATGAGGAACAGGTTTTCAGGGAACACGCAGGCCTCCCTCCCACCACTAACAACAGTAAGAGTTCCACTCGCACGCACGGGAATGTCGAGGCTTTGACATCACCCTGTGGCACCATCAGAAGAAACCGAGGCTCAGGGGTTAAGCAATAAGCTCAGGATCACACGCTCATAAGAGACAAGGGTTGAGAGTCAGCTGTGTTTGATTCCAAAGCACATGTTTCCCCATTGCACTACTCCCGACTCCCAAACCACAAGTCAAAGCAAGGAGCTCTTTCCCATCAAAACTGAGGTGACTGAATCTAATGAACAAAATATCTAGCAAACAAAATAGAAGCTGACTCATAGATAGAGGGCAAACTGACAGCTGTCAGAGGGGAGGGGCGTTGGGGGAGCTGGGTTAAAAAGGTGAAAGGATTAATTTTTAAAAAAAACCTCATAGACACAGACAATAGTACGGTGATAACCAGAGGGAAAGGGGGGTGGGGGAGGTAGAAGGGGGTACAGGGGATAAATGGTGATAGAAGGAGACTTCACATGGGATGGCAAACACAAAACAATGTACAGATGATGTATTATAGAATTGTATACCTGAAACCTATAGAATTTATTAATCAATGTCAACTCAATGAAATCCATAATTTTTTTTTAAAAAAGAAAGAAACTGAAGGTGACTGTCCTCTTGTAAACTCCAGTATCACAGAAACTGAACCTGGGTTCTGTTCCTACTGGAAGTATCCCCACCTTGATTTAGTTTCCCCAGGTGTGCCATCACTATATTTAAATGTTGAGAGTGTTAGCATTGGGCTTTCATTCCTGGGTAGCTCCAAAAAGAAAAAACAAGGAAGTCTCATGGAAGGAGGTTTCAGCTCATTATAAGGCCTGCTTTCCAGCCATTGGATCTGGCCACTAATGGAGCAGGCTCCCTTGCATAGTAATGAGATTCTCATCACTAGGAGCATTTAAGCAGAGGCTGACTAACCTCTTGACCTGAATGTTGTGAAGGGAATATCCTCCATTGGAAGGTTAGATTAGATGAGCTCAGAGGTCAAACCCAGTTCTAAGACTGATAAAATTCAGTTCAGATGAGACTGTACCTGGGGGAACAGCCACAACTGAAGGTTCTCCTCTGAATTTAAGTACAAGTCCACACGGAAGTATGACGCAAGGGCCTATGAGTTGGAAAACCTGGATTCTGCTGTTAAAGTTTTCCCATGTGAAAAAAATAAGGGGGCTGGGTGAGATAACCCTGATTCTTTCCAGACACAAACTTCTATCCCTCGATGACATGGCAGGAGAGACAAAGGTTGGCAGGGGCCTCGCATGAGCAGCAGCTGCAGGGTGGTGGCAGGCAGGCTGTGCACCAGGAGCCCCAGAGGGCGGGGGAGCTCCTTACGTAAGAGGATGGGCCAAAGCCTGGACTGGAGACTGGAAGGATTCTCGAGGTGGCCAGCCCCACCGTGGGCCAGTTTGGATAAGCTCAGGTCCCTCGGGTGATGTGAGATGGGGAGCCAGGCAAGAGCCAAGGGCAGGGTGAAGTCAGGGGTCAGGCCAGGACAAGGTCTACGTCACATCACAGAAAGGGCCAGAACGGAAAGGCCACTTCCTGGAAGGAATAACCTGTATTCTGAGGAGAGGGAGGACATGTCAGGCTGAGTGGTGCAGGGTGGGTGGGACACCAAAAAGGAGTTCTGGAAGATCAATCCCGGAGGAGAAAGGCTAGCTTCCTGAGCCCTGAAAAGAGCCAAGAATACAACCGGAGGAATGTGAGCGAGAAACAGTGAAAACTTCCTAATGTCAGGGCTCTCTGAACACCAGCAATGTGGCTGGCAGGTGAGGAAAATCCCCTTCCTTTAACAGACGGTACTCTCTGCCCACAGGCAAACCTCCCTAGGAATGGAGCCGTCTGCCCCATCAGGAGACTGCAAGGGGGCAGGTGGACTGGGGTGCATGCTTAGCTTGAGGTTTCAGAATTCTTAGCATTCAGACAAAACTGCCTCTGCTCACCCTGCCACCTGCCCTGACCTGGGAGGGGGTGCATTGCATTGGGCTAGTGAAGGATTTACAGCCCATCCAGGACCTGTGGAAGTGTGAAGAGGTGGCTGGAGAGTTTCCAGCCCCCTGGGATACGGAGGGGAGTGAACATGGGGCTGGGATGTCAGCAGCAGAGTCTCCCCTCCTGGAGGTGAGTTCTGGCTGGGCCAGTGCCTCCTCCCACGCCTGGTACCTATGCCCTGTCTGGGCTGATCTCAGGCTCCCTCTCTTGTGTTGCCTTCCCCATCATTAAGCCCACCCCAGCCCAGCAGCTTCTCACTGCACCCCAAACAGGGGGACTTCCCTTTCAGAGCCCTCCCCTGCTCAATTCTGGGCTCTCTCTGTCTGAGCCACTCAGAATGACAGCTGCATATCCTCCAAGACATCCCTCCTCACACCCCGCAGCAACACTCCTCACCTGCTGCTGTGGGCCCTCAGCACCACACAACCCCAACCTTCCGTCCTGGCTGTGCTGTCCTTCTAGAAAGCCCTTCCCCTCCTCCCTCACTTTTCAACACCATGCTCATCCAGCCCCAGAAATCCTCCCTGCACTCCTAACCAGAAGTCAGCCCCTTACTCTGAGCTCCCAGAACTTTACTTATGCATCTGCTTTGGGCACATCTGACTCAGGCACCAAAACCCAGGTCTGGCAGAGAGGCAGAGATGTGGGATCCCAACCAGGCGCCTCTGCTCTGAATCCTATTTCTGCTACTGTTTAGCAGCAGGACTGTGAGCAAGCTACTTAGCGACTCTGTGCCTCAGTTTCCTCCTCTGGAAAGAGGGAATGATAATAGTACTTACCTCATAGGATTGCTGAGAGGATTAAATAAAATAATCACATGAAGCATTTAGCCATAGGTGCATAGGAAGCACTCACTACCTAGCAATCGCTGCTGTTAGGTTTTAACCTTGGGGGAGGGACTTCGCCTGGTTCACCTTCGAACCCCACACCCCTTCCAACACAGTTCTGGATGCTGGAATTGAATTTGGCCTGGGGATTGCGCCTCACGGATGGGGCACTCTGGGGGTGCTCTTTCAATGCACCCTGATGAGCTAGTCTTCCAGGGGCAGCAATCTGGATGTTATTTCTGCCTGTCCACACCCTTAGTAGATCCAAGAGGCCTCACCCATGCTGCCACAGGCCTGATTCTCACAGGCTCCTCCTCCCCACTTACCTGTCAGCGCTGAGGATGGGGCTGCTGGTGGAGAGGGGGCTAGGGGAGACAAAGGAGCCACCCAGGGTCCCGTTCCTCAGGGGTGTGTCCTGGCCATAGGCCTGGGCTGCTGGGGCACTAAAGCTCTTGGGCTCAGGGTCCTGAGCTCGTGGCCCAGCCACTGCCGTCCGCACCACCGACTCAACGTAGCTCCGGGGCTCTGGAAGGGGCAAGGAAACAGAGACTGAACACAGGCCCATAGGGTGCAATGTGGACCCCATCAAACCTGCCAGGGAGTCCAGCCTATGGGGACAGCCAAGCACACTCAGGGCGCTTCTGGGGCTCCTGCCTGCCCATGCCCACTCCTCTCCCAAGCCTTGGAGAAGCTGTGGGAGCCCCACAGAACCTTTACATGGTCTCACTCGGAGAAGCTTCCCGGAAACAGACTCCAGCTCTGCCTCTGAACTTGCCCATCATAGAATCTTCCCTCCCAGAACTACGATGCCCATCCACAGCTGGCATCCCCTTCAGCTACTTCTTTTCTTTGATGACCCCATCCCCAGCCCCCCAGGCCCTTCTAGGCACCCCGGCACTGCAGAAGTCTGGGCTGTCTGTGGACCTAGAGCTCCAGCCGGCCTTGCTCTTATCCCAGGACAGCACCAGGGTTTACACAGGCTTCATCCCACACCCCGGACCCAGAAGCAGGCCTGCTGGCCTCAAAGCAGGCCTGTGCGGGTGAGCCACGCCCAGGCCCTTCATGCCAAGGCACACCCAGCCCCCTGCCTGACACACTTCGAATTCCTCCCGAGGCTGACACCAGTATCTCCACTTGGTGTTCAGAACATTCTAAGAGGAAGGGGGGTGGAGGGACAGGTGCCAGAAAGGCCATCTCACAGATGAGGACACCAAGGCCTGGAGAGTGAAATGGCTAGAGGCCCAACCACGGCTTATCCAACTTCCCCCTCTGAGGCCAGCCCCTAAACAAACTTGATATTAAGCAGGGAGGAGCAGCGGGTGCCCTGGGCTTCTCCAGGGACATGATGAGGTCTGGATGACGTCCCTGCCACCTCCAAGCCCAGCACGGGTCCCTTCTCCCTCAGGAGGGACATGACTGAGCAAAGACAGACCCACACTCTGCTCACAATGAGGGCATTTGCTAGAATCAGCCTGAGAAACCAAGAACCTGTGCAGTGCCGGGCAGGCCGGGTCCCCAGAGCCTTTGCTGGCCGGGACTGTGCTGGTGACTGAGTCAGAGAACAGCCCCTCCCCTGGGCCCAAAGAAAACCCTACTTCGGAAGGAGCCTAATCACCATGGTGTTAGGGGTGTGGCTTCTGAAGTGACCTCAAGGTCCGACATTGCACCCAGGCCCAGAGGCCTGTGGCTACAAGGGGAGGATGCTCCTTCAGAACAGGGCCTTTTACAGAGGTCTGGGGTTCTGTGTACAGCTCCAGCCAAAGGCTGCCAGCCTGTCCTAGCTTCAAAAGAGTTCCCTCCAACCAACAGCAGTGACAGTAGATGGGTACGAAGCAGGATGTCTGCAAAGAGACAGCTTGGAGCAATCTACTCCAGGTAAGGGGTGCAGGGTGTTGTAGCACCAGCCACCTCAGCACCCAAAGCTGGAGTCCATGTGGGCAGAGGCCAGCAGGCATCCTCAAGAGCCCCCTCAACCAGCTCAGGCCACCTGCCCACCTCACAGAAGCCATAGGCCACATCCATTCCAAAGGCGTTATTCTGTGCTTCTGTGCCCAAGGCCCTACTGGAACCAGGAAATGCTACAGAGGTCCTCTGACCTGGGCCAGGCACGCCTTCTTGTAAAGGACCTGATAGTAAACATGTTAGGCTTGGTGGGCCAGACAGTCTCTGTCACAGCTACTCAGTTCTGCTGCTGCAACGTGAAAGCAGCCATAGGCAGCACATAAATGAATGAGCGTGTCTGTACTGCAATAAAACTGTCTTTACAAAAATAAGTGATGGATGAGATCTGACCAAGTTTGCTGACCTCTGATCTAACCCATCTCCTCAGCCCAGAGAGGTGGAGCGATTTGTCCCAGAACACACAGCCAATCAGGGGTCGTGGATACTAGCACCATGGCCTCCCGATTCTCAGTGCTGGCTCAGGGTGGCCTAGAGAGGGGCCACAGCCAGAGCTGGCTGCTACCCGGAACTCTAGCCCATCACCTGGAGAAGAGCCAACTCCACAGGGCTATTAATGATGATAAAAATAGCAAACAATGATATGAAGAAAATAGCATTTGGAGAATGTAAGTATCTTGATCGGGTCATGCAGTAGCAAGTGTGAACCAGGTGGTCTGGGGAACCAGGTGGTCTGGCCCAGAGCCTGCTCTCTGGCCCTCTGCACATATGGCCAGTTGAAAGTCAGGGAGCTGATAGTTTCAGTGTCTTTAGCCTTAGGGAGCTGGCTCTGTGCTCTGGGGTAACCCAGCATGGTAGAAGGGGGTCTCACACCCACAGAAGTGGTAATGGAAACCCAAGGCCAGAGCCTACCCTCCCAGCCCAGCCCTCACTGCCTGGGGTCATTCTCTGAAAATTCCTCCTGAACCCTTCTGGCTCTCAGCTTCACCAGGGTCCCCACTGCACTCAGCACCCCTTCTCTCCCACCCAGAGACAGCCAGGGGGTCCATCCAGTCCTTGTGAAGTGCCTGGCACCCTTGTGAAGTGCCTGGCACCTAGATATGTGTCTGTCCTACAAAGTAGCAGACGCATGAGCTTTACCTTCCAGCCCCACCCAGACAGAGGTACGTCATAACTAAGACCTAAGAGGCACATGCTCATTTTTCTCATTCCCTGGAAGTCTTGCTGACCGCAAAACTCAAGCAAAACCCACACGAATGACCTCTGGAGTCTGAGCTCTTCTCCCACCAGCGATGGCCTCCGGATCCAGGTAGACATAAGCAAAACCCCTTTGCTCAATCTCCACTCCTCACGAACCTAGAGCATGAGGGACTTCAGGAAGTTATTTGATTTTCTGAGTCCATCTCCAGAATTGTTCAAAACCAACCTTTTGGGCCAAAAACTCAGTTTTCCCAAGTTTTCAGGCTCAGATTTCCATATTGAAAATGCCTCCTTTTCCTTTCTATTCCCCTACCCACCCTGCCTCAGTACAATGTAGAACTTGTAGGCTCCCCTTCTTTCACTTGCTGGACAGGGGACCTGGGAGAGGCTGCTGAACCTTTCTGGGACTCAGCTTCCTCATCTGTAAAATGGGAATGAGAATACGCACCTGCCCAGCCAGGATCAAGTTCCTTCTAATTCTTTCTGGGTGATTCCAATTAGCTGTTTACATGCGGCCCCACTGTTGCCCGCCTGCCTATGCCACGGCCAAGCCAGCGCCTGCCTCCCTCCACCCTCTCTCCTGCTGTTTCCCTCCTCTCCTCCAATCCTGGAGCAGCTGCACCCAGGGGCAACAGGGTTGGGCAGCAGGGGAGAGGTGGGGCCAGGGAGGGTGCTTCATGTCGAACATTCCAGGAGCTCAAACCCATTCCAAGTGGCTGCTGGCGGCTAAAAGCAGCTGGAGGCCCAAGAGTGACTTGGCCCCACCAGGCTGGGGACACTGTCACCTCTTCACCCACACCCTAAAGTGCATTTTCTGCCTCCCAGAAGAGGCTCTTTGCCTAGAGAGACAGGCCCCACCTGCCCACTCCAAGTAAATGAAGACATGTGGGTGGGGAGAGAGAGGAAGTAAAGAGATCCCCAAGTCCCAATCCAGGAGCTCAAAAGTCAGAATTTCAGACCTTATAGATTGGGCCACATGCCCCTCCTCTGAGCTCCCATTACATCCCGTCCCTATCCCGCTCAGCATTCCACGTGATGCTGAAATGTCTCTTGGCATCTCTGTCCTCACCAGGCTATCTCCCTTTTCTTTATACCCTCAGTGCCTAGGACAGGACCTGGCACATAGTAGGTGCTCAATGAATCTGCCTTGCACAGCACTGCCCTAAAATCCCAGATGCCGCAGTACACCCATCACCAAGGATCTCAGAGCAGGAAGAATCTGAGGAGGCACCATTTCTAGTCCCATGTGTCTTCCTTTATGCCAAATCGGTGCCATCCAATCCTCTGGATGAACAGAACCTAACCTGAATGTCTCCTTTCCTGTTCCTCCCTGTGTCACTTGGTAGATACTCTTGATGTTGGCCTCAGGTCTTTACTGCTGCAGGTGTTCTTCCTCTCCTTCCTTCACGGAAAAAGAGTACCTTGTCCCCATGCCCAGTAACATCACCGTTTATGTTCAGAGATTGTGCCCAGGGCAATCACATGGAATAGGTCAGCCTCCACATGCTGATCCAGTGTGGGATCTCAGCTGCCTGACTGACTGTGTGGGCCTAGATAAGTCATTTAACATCCCTAAGCATCATCTCATCTGTAAAATGGGGTTCCTAGCACCTACTTCTCAGTACTTCTGTGTTTATCAAATAAGATGTGACAATGACACCACATGGTTCTGTCCCTGACTGTTGAACCCCTTTGTACTGCACACCTCCTGAGCCCCCTCATTCCAGACCCCAGCTCCCGCTTGCTCTTCGCCTCACTGACATTGTAGCTCCTAGAAAAAACATGCTGTTGACTCCCACCCCAGGGCCTTTGCACATGCCCTTCTCTTCTACATAAAATGCTCCTCCCATCCCAATTCCACCAAGTTAACGTTACTTCTTTGCTGCAAAGTCTCATAAAACTGTATCCCTTCCCTTCAGAGCACTTATCTCGATACATAATTCTGCATCATCATTTAATTCTGGCTACTGTTCATGCATGTGCTCCATGAGATTAGGAACCATGGAACTGTTTGTCATATATCTCCAGAGCCTGGCACAGTGCCTGTTACACAGTAGGCACACAAAATACTTATTGACTAACTGAATCAATAAATGGTAAATAAATTAATATAAAGCATTTAGCATGGTGCCTTAACCAGAGCAGAGTTCCCTAGTCTACTTTTCCCCTGGCTGAGTAATTCTGCCTCTGACCATTTTTTTCTCACAGGCATTTTTTTTTCCCCACCAAAGTGGGCAGGGAAAGCAAGCAGAGCTTCAGAGGGTCGGCAAAGAATGTGCTTTAGCCTGACGGGGAGGCAGCACATGAGTCAGGAAAAATGAAACTGGCTGCCCACAGCCTAGCTCCCTGCCCCTAACCCGCCCCACTCCCCTGGCCACGACAGCAATTCTTCCCCCCACGCTGGAATCCCAGGGCACCATGCCTGGACGCAGAAGGAGGGCTTGAAATGGGCACCTGACTAAGATACAGGAGATAATTCCACTCTTAGCCCCACTGCCTTTTAACTATGACCTTGGGCAGATGCCCCCACCCTCACCCCACGAAAACAACCTCAGCTCCACAGCTGTGAAAATGATGGGTGTGGCACCGCTGATCCCTAAGAGCCTTTCTCTCCTAACTCCGTGGCTTAAGGACAGATGGAAGTGGGTGGGAGGGCTCCAGGCCTTGTAGACTGGAAGTCATGCGTGTGGACAATGGTCAGGTCTCAGCTCAGTTCTGCAGATACTCACTCCTCTGAAGTGTTACCCCAAAGTGGAAAAGAGCCAGGGCCTGTCAGCCTGTGGGATAATCTACCTCAGACCTTCCCAGTGGAGAGGGCTTGAGGTCCCACCAGTCTGTTGAAGTCAGCAACCACGAGGACAGCGTGGGTGGGCATCTGAAACACATGAACCCTGGCTCCGGGCCCTAGCTTATTCTAGACTCCTAACCCTGCTTCCCTGCCCAGTTGGGAACCAGCAGCCAGGAACAAGCTGCAGCTCACTCTGTTCTGGGATCAGTTGCTGGGGGTCCCTTGTTCCAAAACCCCCAGGTACCCTGGCATGGCTGCCCAAACTCTGGCTGGAAGTGGGCAAAGCTTTCTGGAAGCTCCAGTCATCCTGCCCGGGGGATAGCAGATTCAGAGCAGTACAGCCCATGCCTGCTTTGGGGGTAGACTATCAAGGCAGTGAGTGCAAAGGAAAGTGGAAACAGGCTTAAGAAAACCAGATGGAGTCTTTAAAGAAACCAGGCCGCATGGGTCTAGGGTCCCAGTGGGAAGTCAGTACATCTAACACGTCAGAGCTGGAAGGTGCTTCGACACCCACTTCATTCAAGCCCCCCTGGTGGAGATGGCCCAAACCACACCAGGTGCCACAAAACCATACCCAGGCCACCCAGGCTAGCACCCCCAGCGTTTCACCTGCTGCTGAGTCATCACTTGAACTCTGCTCCTAATAAGTTAAAGGCTTTCAGCCAGACTGAATCCCCTTTCTACTTCCCCGTGTACAATGTGGAGTTCATCTAAATTAGGGGTTAAGCTGACACAGACACACTAACTCCTTGAAACTGACAAAATTCTGCGCATGGTGTCCAGATGCACAGGGGCAGGTCCATAGCTCTTCTGAAAGCCCCAAAGGCATCAAAATCCCAGAAAAAAGAACTCCTACCATTTGTGTTGACAAGAAACCGGGCACGAGCTTCAAGAGGTCAACTCATGGCTCTAAGACAGTGGTTCCGACAGGAGTGGCTGTCCCCCTAGGGGACATTTGCAATGTTGGAGGTATTTGAATTGTCATGAGTAGGTGGGTACTGCTGGCACAGAGCAGGCAGAGGCCAGGGGTGCCTCTAAACATCCCACAATGTGCAGGGCAGCCCCACAACTAAGAATTGTCCAGCCCTAAAAGTCAGTAGTGAGAAGGTAGAGAACCCTGCTCTGAGCTCTGCGTGCAAGTACACCCAGGATATGAAATGATGAGCCCCCACCCCATGTGTGAGTCCCCTCACCCTTCGAAGGGGTTTGCTGCACCCCAGGCAGGCTGGCAGAAATGCCACTGGCGGTGGCAGTGGCAGGAGGGGCGTTTTGTCAGCAAGGTGGCACCACACTGGCACCTGGGCACTGGCTGCTCCTGAACCTGCACTACGAGTTCCTCAGTCAGGACTCAGGCAGTTTCTAGGGCAACAGCTCATCACCAAGGGGTAGAGACCAGGAGGCTATGCACCTGGTCACTTGAGACCTGGTCACACAGAGCTGCCCCCCAGCCAGCCAGGCCCAGCTCTGTGAGAAAAGCCATTCCCAGGCCCGGACAGCAGGAAGCGGCACACGGCAAGCCAGCACTTACCTTCCGACGGCTCTGGTACCTCCTTCCCCTCATCCTCCTCTGGGGAAGATGAGGAGAGGTGGGAGGGAAGAGGCAGGTGATGGAGAGGAGAGGGAGAGCAAGAAGGAGAGAGAGATCAGTTAACAGAGATCCTTTCTTGAGAGAGACTTTGCTGAGAAAAGGGAAGTGGGAAAACAGGAGTGAGGCCAGGGTGGAGGTGACGCTCATAGAAGTGCCCCAAGGTGAGGGGTGAGGTCCACCCTGACGAGATCCTGGGTTCCAGGGAGGCTCGGCGGGGCACGCAGGACACACAATTTAAAGAGGGCCTGGCTCTCAGGAGCAGCAGGCCCTGACCCTATGGCTCCAAGTCCAAGCCTTCCCTGTCACAGCCCCTGCCCAGGCTCTCTCGGGCTGTGTCTCAAGCAGGAGTGTGCTGGCCTAGTGAGAGGCAGCCCCCGCCCCTTCTTCTCCCGGTGACTCAGTGTCCCTGGCCATGCAGACATCTCCTGAGTGGGAGGCTGTGCCCAGGCCGTGTGTCTGCGTGGGTCACACACACATGCCAGTGCATTCCTACCTGGCAGGATCAGTCTTCTGGTGACTAAGGAAAAAAAGCTAAGTTGGCCCCCAGAGCCCCAGCTTAGCCCCAAAACCAGAGTCTAGGGAGAAAGTTACTGGACTCAGCCTGCTTGAAATGGCCTCTAAGGGCCCAACGCCCCCCACTTTCTCCATCCCCCATAGAAGAAGGGGAGCTGGGAGATGTGACGAGGAAGTGGGGGGTGTGAGACTGGAGCATGAGTCTGTGGGCATGTCTGCATCTGTGTGCGTGTGTGTATACCTGCATGAGTGTGTGAACAAGTGTGTGAACACTGGGGCACACAGGAGCCTGGCTTCTGGCAAAGAACTGACCAACACCAGGGAAACTGAGGCCAGGCCTCCAAATCCCCAAGTCAGAGGACACTGGACATGGCATTGACCTCACAATTCAATGGGCAGGAAGGTTGCAAAGGGATCTATCTTCCTCCACCCCAGACCTCAGCGTGGGCATGAACCCAGGCTGCCAACTTGTTTCCAGGAAGGTCTGGAGAACCCACCACCTCTGGGTCCTGCCCAGGACCACAGGGGTCCTCTGAACCCCCACTCCTCCCTCTGGCCTCCCCCACCGCCTCCCTTCCAGCCAGAGCCACTCACCGCCCTTAGGGTGCAACAGGATATCTGCTGGGTTGTGGGGTTTCAGGCCCAGAGCTGACAGGGGTGTCTTGGCCAGACCTGGTGGAGAGCGCACTATGCCGGAGAGAAGAGAGGAGACATGGGAAATGAGTCTGGGCCAGGGAAGGTGCAGGGGAGAGGAGATGGGGCAAGAGGGAGGTACCAGTAGGTGAGGGCTTGTTGGGGAGGGGTGGGCCCACAGGAGAGGGAGCCGAGGAACCCGCCCCAGCCCAGGAGCGATGCTAAGGCTCCACTGCCCTTTCCTGTCTGTTTTTCTCCGCAGTTTAAAGGGCAAAGTGAGTCAGGATGTGGTGTCCTTGTTCTGGCCCTGCCCTCCCACCTGCAGAAAATCTTTCCTTTCCCTAAGCCCTTTACATGCCATGGTTTACAACAAACATGCAGGTTTCTTTGACTATCCCTGATTTTCTCATATATTATTCCCTCTTCCTTCCTCCTCTGCTCCCCCCCTCCCCCCCCC